ATGTAGCTCTTTCATCATTAACTACATACCTGTTCATTGAAGTAACTTGCACTGTGCATTCAAGTTGCCATTCCAACGTTCTCCATCCCTTGACAACTTGTTAGCTTGGGTGTCACTTGCTCTCCATAACCAAAGGTCTTCATTTTCCACATCCCTATATCTCTACCTCCCAAGTGGGTATTCAATAGTATATGATCCAGAGCTAAAACAGTGAGGTTGTCAATAATAAGGTCCAAGTAGTACAAACTAGGAAACACTATCCTCTCTATTGATGCTTCTTTTTCTCCTTTCTCATTTGTGACTATTTCTTCTATTGTGAGCACCCATATTTGAAGACTTTGAGTCTCACCAGCATTTGACATGGAAGGGGGAAGAGGTTTTTTAATTTATACATCATTATTTAAAGTAGTCAGGTTTCCCAAACTTGGGAGGTTATGGTGTGGTCTAACTCCTCATCCAAAGTTCTTTCTTCTCAAAGATCTCCTCTAAATTATTGCAATACTTATATTTTCTTCCAAACAAATAGGCTTTGGAGTAGATTGGTAAAATTTAACTTTTGCATAACCTAAAGTTTTTAATTTACTAAATATGGCTGAGGTTCACATCTTCAACAAGTTGGGTAAATACATTCCAATTCCTCTAAATTGCTAAAAGTTAGTTTGGTCTCCTTCAATTATTTAATACTTTATCTTCATCACATGATTGAATAAGAACTTCAATTCATTGAACCCTTCTTCAACTAGGTTATGACTAATACTCTTAAATTACAATTTCTCTAAAATAGACGCTCAGTTCTTTTGAGCAAACTTTAACCCAGTCATATTTTTGAAATGTTGGTTGTGAGACAAGCATATTTCTTGAGTATCTACTCTCATCCAAATAACTCAAAATATTCACTAAACCTATTCTTAATTTAAAGTTGGATAGGTTATTTTGGAATACCAACAATTTGGTGAGAGGTCAAGTGTTGGAATATTAATCTCTAAATGAGTTAATGACAAGCTTGTAACTCACAAGATTGACATTGCTTTCAAATTTTCACTTTCATATTCCCATTGCCAAAATCTTTAATGTACAACTCTTCTAACTTTTTAAGAGAGGATTATACACCACGAGGTATTAGTGTTAACTCCAACAATTATTCAAATCTAATAACCTGAGATTACTTAATTGGCTAAAGGAATCAGGATCTTCTGAATAGAAGATCTGGAAAGGCTAAGAATCTCTAGTTTCTTAGACCTCCAATCATTGATAGGTCACCCAACTTGCAACCACTAACATAAATGTTTTAAGATTTGAAAGAAATGAAAGTGAATCAGGCAACGACAAGAGCTATCCACTCAAGTTTAAAACATTAAGATTTTCATTCCTTGAAAGAAATTCAGGAAAAAAAATCTCAAAATTGCCTTGCAACATCAAAACTGCCTTTGGGCATTCCACTCATTAGGTAGCTCATATTATTTACACTAGATCATGTGAAATCTTCATAAATTGTCCACTCTCGTAGACCAATGCCAGCTTTACCAATTGGTGGTTGTATTTGGAGCTATGTTAATGCGAAATCCGCACTACATCATCTTTAACATACTCTTCACCATCATCAATTAAGAAAGAAGAAGTGATGGTACTTACAATAGCATGAACTCTACCTCTGACATCTTCTATTGTCTCATCAACATCTTTAAACCACCTCTGACCAATCGCGTATCTCACTAAAACTCAATTGGAATTTTAATCCTCTGGAAATAAGCTACAAGTAAGAAAGGATTTGACTCCACTTTTCTAGATATGCAAGCTCAGTCCAAAGATAAATAAGTCCCCCCACCCTGGATGTCAGATGGGTTGGACTTTTGAAGTTGTCGTGCCGCGTTCTCCACACATGCTTGTTCTTGCCCTTTAAAGCTCCTGCTATTTCACAATTGCAAGTGGCAAGCCACCACATTTACAGCTATCTCTCTTGCAAAAGAGTTATGTCAGAAGTTTCGACATTTGAGCCAATCTCGCTGAAGTGCCCAAGATTCTTGTTTTGATAAATTTCAACTGTAAATACTTGACACTCCATTTGATTACTACAGTTTTGCTTCGAAGGTGATTAAAATTTTACAACCTCTATGGTCACCCCAAAGAATACCAATCTCATCCATTGATTCTTTCCCAAACGTCATCCACACGACAAGAATCCGCTCTCTTTCCTTGCTTACTCTCCCACAAGAATCATACATCTTCTCTTCTTTTACTTGTTTGCTGATCTCTTTGACCGATGTGGTCTTACCCACGCCCCCCATTCCACATATTCCATTATGCTAACATTATGATCATCATTAGCACCTTCACAATTTGCTTCTTGTTGAATTTCTAGATTCAAAGTGCCGAAGAAAAAACTTGATGATGGATATAATTCCAGACGGAGGACAGACAAGACACCTCTCAACTTTCCCACTTCTTGGAGCTGATCAGAAATCACCAGGTATGTTCTTTGCCTCCTTACTGAATGCGATAACGTTGTTTGAGATTAACACACCACCCTTTGAGGCACCTCTTGTTGGCTTTGTCTCATCTTCAAAAACTTTTCAGCTTTTGCGAAATATTTCCTCTCTGCTATCCAGCTTTGAACATCAGGAAAATGTTTTCTCCATTGCTTTTAGCAGATTCTATTTTCTTCTCACCTGTTCTCTGCTATCTTCCACTTCTTAGCTCTTTTTCAAGTTTTCACATTGTCGTTGTAATGAACAAGTAACCAGTTGACACCAGGGCTGTCAAACAGACTTCCGACCTCCAGCAATATGGAGAAACAATTTTCTCTGCCAATCTTATAAGAAGAATTCTATGGAGTATTCTTTGAAGGTGAGAGAAGGATAAAGAAGGATTTGAAGAAAGGTTTAGGGAAAATTTAGTGGCTTAGTTTGCAACAAAGAGGAGGACACAAACACAATCATGAAGAAATTAATTAAAGAATGAATGATTGAGTGTTTGAAATGTAAGAACAAACGGAAAGAAGTGAAATATTCAAGGCTAAAGAGAATTCTATTTTGGTGATTAAGGTGAAAGAAGGATAAATATAAGAGTATTAGGAGAGTTTGTGAGCTAGTTTGAACAAAGAGACAAATGCAATTGAGAAAGTAATGAAATAAAAAGCACAAATTAGGGAGGAGGAGTATATAAAGAATAAGAAAAGAGAAAGTTTGGCAAGAAAAGGATTTACTGAAGAAGGAAAGCATGTAATTCATCTTCTGCCTTTGCTGTCAAGCCTGCTTGGTTTCATCCTTATAATTACAACATATTTCTTTCTTACTTTTATAACATCTGTAATGTTTAAATCTACAATTATTATTCAAACTAATGTAGATTATCTCAAGAGAATGTTTTTCGGAAGAGAAATAATTACTATATAGCAGGAAGAATACAATCTGGTGTATAAAAGCAACAATCAAATTTACGTATAAAAATCATATAAGATGGCAAGATATATATTTAAAATCTCCTTCATTCTTAACTCTTGTGTTAAACTACTTTGATAATATATTGTTTGCGTCATGAATGATAAAAGAAAGAAAGAAAAGCACAAAAAGAAGGAATATTATGAAATAAGAAAGAGAAAGGTTGCAGCATAAACAAAGAAAATTAAATGGTGTGAAGAAGGAGTATGTATGCATCTTTGAGTGAAGAAGGAAGGTTATAGATTTCAGGAAGGTATTTAGGAGGACGCACCAGAAAGAAAAGAGAAAAGTTTGAGCAAAGAAATGTGATTTATATGAAGAGGAAAGCATGTAATTCATCCTGAAATTTTTTGAATGATCATCCTCTGCCTTTGCTGCCAAGGCTGCTTGGTTACAACATCATTCTTTACTTTAATACATGTTAATGCGTCAAAATCTATAGCATGTCCAGGTTCTTGGTTCCATCAACAATGTTTAAGTTTATTGGATGTGTCTATCAATATGTATCGATTGTGTGTAATATTTTGCTTCTGTACATATTATTTGCTCTTCTTAGGCAAGAATATTTCTACATAATTTAACTATAATAATATATCTCATTTGATTTGAATACATGAGAGATTCATATAACACAGTAGCATGTTATAAAAGAAAAGCAGTCTTGGGAGGGAAGGCGAAGGATGAATCATTCATTTCCAAGATGCATTATGTAATATAGACCTTCCTTCTCATACCATTTGCTTTTCTTGCTTATGCTGCAACCTTTCTCTTTTTCTTTCATAATAAATTTCTTTCTTCTTTTTAGGCGATTCTTTCTTTACTTTCATTATTTCAAACACAATAAATATTATCAGATAGTTTAACAACGAGTTAAATGAATAGTGCCATTCGAGGATTAACTCTGTCCAATGGTGTAAAAGAAGGATATAATGCATCTTTGAGTTGGTGTGTGTTGTAAATGATAACACATAAAAAGAAAAGAAATTTGAATAAAGAAGAAGCAGGTAATGATGTTAATTGATTCCATCCTTAATTGGCCTTTGCTCTCAAGGTTGTGGTTCCATCCTTGTTACAAGATCATTCTTTTCTTTAAATAATGTTATGAGTTAGAATCTGTAAGAAAGAGATTTATGGAAATATTTTAGAATGTTTGTCTCCCTTAAAAAAAGTATAAAAACAGAAGGAATATATAAGCAAATAAAGTGATGTTGAAGAAGTAAGGTATGAAATTGATATTAAAATAATGTTTCAATCCTTATTACATGCTCACCTTTTCTTTCAACAAATTAATGTTGTAAGTATGAATTGAATATTCTGCATAAGAAAGAAATCTAGAAATTTCTTGTCTTCTGCAAGAAAAATGAATATGCTTCATTAGGCAAGATAACTTGTGAAGCTATATCAAAGCAATCCATGAATGAATGATTTCATTCTTTTCTTTTATAACATGATCAGAGGCTCAATCTGTGAAGTATTCAGAATCAAATATTCTTGTCTTCAGCAGAGAAAATCACTGTATAGAGCTACGAACAAATTGCAAGTAAAACAAAAAAGCAGACTTACATTTACAAGATAACTCTCCTATCTTTCCCAAAACAACAACAGGAAGCAACGCAAGTCTGAATGCCAAAGTCGAAGTAGCAATAATTACCCACCAGAAAAGTCCTTATACACCAACTAATTAAAACAAAACATCTCAAGAGTGAATTTCATTCACCATGAAAGAGAAGATATAAAAGAATTTAAAAGAAGAAATTAACATTTCAAAGAAGTTCCTATCTATAACAATGTTTACAATTTTAAAGCGCTTTGTGACAATTATCCACTTCATGAAACACATTTACACGCAAAATAAGCTAGAGAGAGCAAGCTTTACCAAGGGAAGCCAGAGAGACTATGATAAGCTTCTAGCACCGAAATCAGAGTTTGAACAGGAAGAATCGACTCTTCACCACTGCCAATCACTCCGTCACAGAAGTTAACAATCTCCGCCGGGATCGGCACGGAGTCAGTGAGCGTGTCGTCGTCTACTAAAACCGGAGTGGAAGAAACGAGAAATCGCCGGCGAGTGCCGAAGTAGGACGACTCTGACGGTTCTGGTGGCGGTAGTGTCGCGTGGAGAAGGTGATAGAACGGCGGCGCATGAGATAGAGAGCGAGTGAAGCGACGGTGTGATAGTAAAAGCCTGGAAGTTGCCATTAGAGCCTGACCGGGTTTTATCTACCCAAAAGTAAAAAAAATAGTTGGGAAAAAAAGAAATGTGGCCCTATATAATGTAATAAAAAAAATTCTAAATAAAAATACACCTTTGTTGTATCGGCGTTTGGTTGACGATAATGTCAAATTATTAAGAAAATGTTATCTTATATTATTTGATTACCACGTTTGATTATCAAGTAATATTGATTAAAAGCGTTTGATTGGCGGTAATGTCAAATTATTGAGAAAATGTTATCTTATATTACTTGATTACCACATTTGATTGTCAAATAATATTGATTACCAAATTTAATTGTCAAGTAATATAAGATTCAGTAATCTTCAAATACCAATAGTAGTTACTATTAGTAATATTGGAGGTAATCTGATTACCTCTATTTTCATTTTCTTAGGTATTCTAAGATTACCAGAGTTATCTTTTTTTGTTACAATTTTATCTCTTATTAATGAACATTTTGGACAATAATGCCCTCATTTAAAATAAATTATTGTTCATATTTTAAGTTTAAACATATAAAATTAAATTTATAATCTTATATATACATTCCTTAGTATTGGCAGTGTTTTTAGTCCTATCAATTTTAAAGTGCTATTTTTTATTTTTCAAGAAAGAAATTAATGATTTAAAATTTTATGGAGTGTTCAGCAAATCTCAATCTATCACTTAAAAATTTAAAAAAATAAAAGAAATAATTTTTTTTTTTAATTTAAGAGATTCTAATTTCAATTTTTAGAATTGTACAGGGTTAACTTGTCTCAGTAAAAATATTTTGAAAAATGATTATGTACTTTAGGAAATAAAAATTAATTATGTGAATGATAATTACTAAAATACCCTAAAATTCAATCTAAGGTATAAATTAATTTTTTATGTGAATATTTTAATTGGTAATTAAATATTAGCTTTGTTTTAAAAAATAGAAAATAGAAAATAAAAACAGTATCCAACAAAGTTGAATATATACAAAATCATATGAACAATCAAACAAATCAAATTATCACAATTTCTTGTGTTGTCAATAATACTCAATAAATAATATATAATACACCATAATTCATACCATTTTTAGTTTCTACTTTAATCTGATCCTTCTGCTTGGTCCCCCTACTAAAACAATAAACTTATTAATAATAGACACCCCCTTGAAATTTATTAATTAAAATGTATAATTTTAAATATACAATACGAAAAATTATCACACTTAATATAACAAGATTTATTATTTGAAATGTATAATTAGTTTTGAAAAAAAGAGAGAGAGAGAGAGAGAGAGAGAGAGAGAGAGAAATGAAAAAGATATTCACATAATAAATTGAACTTATTATAATTTTATTAATAAAAGAAACAAAATTATTTTTTAGAATTAAGAGATTTAAGAAAATAAAAGCACCTAAATAATGTATATCTAAGAATTTAACTATAATTAAAATTGTAAACTTAAAAAAAAATTGTTTATTCCCTAGATTTTCACTCCGGCTGTACAATTGAATAAATGCTAAATAAATGGAAATGACAAATTAATCTAACCAGAAAAAGGTAATGCAAATCAATTTGTATGTAAACGGTTATTCTATTGAATTGAATGCCATATTTATATATATTTAATTGAAATAAAATAAAATGAGTTATAAAGATAAATTTATATATATATATTGAAAAAGAAAAGAAATGAAAACAATATTCACATAATAAATTGAATTTATTATAATTTTATTAAGAAAAGAAACTAAATTATTTATTATTGTGTTTAAAAACAATCACAAACTAGAAAGAAAAAGAAAGCTGTGAAAGAAGAATAATGAACTACAAAATGAAGATTTTAACAAATAAATGGGGCTATATTATGTTATGTTATGTTATGGTGGTTGTTTGAATAAGTAACTTTAATTATTGGGGAACTCAAGTGCATGAATGTCATATTTACGATTACTCTATTGATTTGAATGTCATATTTATATACATTTAATTCAAATAAGTGTATCAACGAATAACGGTAAATGATCTCTGCTCTGTTAACAACCTACTTGTTAGATCTCTCAAATAGGTTTCTGACCTAAAATAGAATGAAGTTATAACAATAAAGTTAATGTATTGGCACCTATTATACTGCCTCTAGGAATTACAACAAGAAGTGGCTATTACAAGACAAAAGAAACCTAGAAAGTCAAAACAACCCTTACCCTTATTTAAATGTTCCAGAATTGAATTTCGATAATTGGGGTCTATGTCATATGCATCTCTCATACAATTTGTATCATGAAAATTATGTAAGAATTACCTCCTCTGTAAATTTGAAGGGGCTCAATAAGTAAGATGTGAGTCAATCCTTCTTGCATTAAACAATAGCAAAGATCAGCACTGGCAGCAAGATCTGAAATTCAAAATACAAAGAGCAGAGATACAGTCAGAGATGAAAAATCCTTTAGTAATACGAATCAACACATGTTTTGCCAATCAAATGAATAATTAGGGAAAAAAGAAACAATTTAACTCGTCGAATTTCTTGGATTAAAACACAGTTACAGTATATACGCAAGGTGACACTAGCAAAAATCAACAAAGGATTTCTTCAAAAGAGCAATCATCCAATTCTGCTTGGAAAATCAACATAAAAGATAGATAACTAATTTGTAATGCCTACAGTTTGAATTTTGTAAATGTAAATGTAAGATTGCATTATGTAAATGAAAGCAATAAACAAATAAGTATATCATGAAAGAAAAGAAGTTAAGCAAATGTAAGAATTGGAGCAATAATTTTAAGGATAAGTAAATGACCAAGGTAATACCTATGCTTCAACCCTCATCAGAATAAGCGTGCATATGGCTACACAAACAGAAACTAATTAAATGGGGTCTGATGGGGATTCTATTCGGAAGAGTAGTAGGATTAGGACTCCTAATCCTAAATATCAGGAATAGCTCTAGTGGTAGGATAAGAATAAGGGATAGTATGAAGAGTTGTTTATCCTTATGTTATTTGCATGTTAGCTTTCTGTATCTGAATTGTAGGAATGATACCAGGTTGTAGAGGTGAGCCTATTTAAGAGAGTCTTTGCGTTAGAAAGATTATGAGTATTTGATTAACCATTGCGTGAACGGTGGTTCCTACCTAAAGTGGAGTATCAATATTATTATCATCTTGCCGTTCATATTTACGTTCATCCAAAGTCTCTAGTTCCATCACAATAACGTATCAGGGTCTTGCTCAGGCATTGCAACACCAGAAAGATGAACTAAATAGGCTTATCAATCCGATTAGTACTATAAATAAATTCAAATAGTTGGAAATCATCTCATGCTAGGTTGTAACTGTCATTGTTTGCGAGCAAACCAATCAGGTCCAAGTAGTACTTGTTTTACGCTTCTTTTAACAATTGTCAACAAACACACCACATGTAAGAAAACCATTCCTCACAAGCATTTCATCAAACATGTGCTGAAACCATTCCTCAAAAGCATTCCATCAAACATGTTCTATAATGCCTTAAACAACCCAGAAAGTGTAAACACACAAAAACTACACAATTTTAGCATATAATCAGCACAACATAAATGCTATTCTTTACCTGTTTACTAAGTTGGTTACGTTGTCTGGGATTCACTGAGACGCCTCTTTGTTGCTTTGACTTCATCCTCCAGAATTTTCAGCTTCTGCAGTGATTTATCGATCTCTGACATCCAGTTCTGAGCATCAGTTTCTATAATTTCTAGATTCTTTTCAACGGCTTCCTTTTCTTTTACAACCAGCAAGTTTGGGTTTCCAAATTGAGATCAGAAAATACTATACAATCTTGTATTATCATAATTACTATGCAGGGTATCAAAAGCAATAACAATTCACAAACTCTCAAAAAAAGCTGATGTGGTGCGTACTTTTGAGACTGTTTTGGGACCCTTCTTCTTCTTCTTCTTCTCTTCTTCTTCCTATACAGAGCATAAACAGATTCTGGTTGTCAGTAAACATGTATATAATTCAACATATGGATGAGTCTGCAAACTCTAGAGGGATTGAATCTTGCTAAATATGATTCATACCATTTTTACCGTCTACTTTCAATTCATCCTCTTGTTGAATAACCTTTCAACTCAAAATTTGTTTAATTTTTGTATTATATATTCACTTTAATTTAATTCATTTATTATTAAAAATGTTTTAATATTATTAACTTTTAAAAATGTCTATTTCTTCAACTACATTATGACTAATATCTTTTAAATTAGTAATTTATCGAAAATTAGATACTCAGCAAACATTTACCCATCTATATTTTTATAATCTTAAGTCCACCCTCTCTATTAATCACCGTTTGATTCCATGTAGGATTTCACGTAGGATGCCACATAGGATCTTAAGAGCTCTATTAATATATGTTGTCGTGTAGGATTTCAATTGCAACTTTAAAATTATTTTTTATTAGTATTAATAGCACATATGGACATCCAATAATCTAATTAAAATATTTATAGATTCATGTAATCTTTTCATATTCACCTAAATATTTAGGACAATTAAATAGTGGCATCCCAAGTCTCAAGAAAACTTATATTTATTGTAGAGATTAAATGGGAATGGTTGAGTTGTGAATTCTTGAGACCTTTTTTAAAATTTTTCGATTTTACGAATACCCTTTTCGGATTCTTTGTCGACTTTGTTTGTAAGGCAGTTAGTAACATCAGTACCGTCAATTTGTTGTTCATTCCAAACGATGCAATGCCAGTATTCAAGCTATTAATAGGTGGCCTATTTCAGAGCAAAATTTTTAACTTCCAGCAGGCCATCCAAGGTAATGTTAAACTCCTTTTTTTTCATTGAAAGTTGTTTTAACCATTACTAATCACTTAAGATTGTGTATTGCAAGCGTAAGGGGAGGGAACTTAGAAATTTACTTTAATGATGAGGGCGTGAAAAGAATGTACCATTGGTTAAGATGTATGGGAT